CATAGCCTTGCTTCTCCAAAAGGTTTTCTAAGTAGTAATAAGACCTAGGTCAGGTGGAAACTGCATTCCACTCCGGAAGAGGACACCTTTTGGGAAGCTTTTGGGCAATTTGAAATTCAATGGAAGCATCAGAGCTATTCATATCATTGTGGGAAAATTCCACCACCAGTTCTTCATCACCTAGATGAAATAGGCTTAGCACATGTTGACCGCTCTATTTGTTTCCACAAAAAAGGAGCGATAGCCTAAAACTTGTCATTCGAGGCTCAGTCGGGCCGTAAACCCACTCAATGGTAGCCATCCAAGCCACCAGGCGCCGACCCAACGAGGATCGGCTTGCCCCGTGGCGAAGTCGGCCAGGTCAATCAGTAGACTTTCGTGCAGAACGGAGGTATGAGAAGCCATGAAGAAGCCGAGCGGAGCAGCCATCGACCGGATACAGAGGAGGATGGCTGGAGTAAGAGGGTCACCCATCGTCAGAATTCCAGTGGTACCGAATTGGAGAACAGCCAGAAAGGCAAGATGTGGAGGAGAGGGCAAAAAATGGAGGAATGCATCAATTTGACATTAAACGACAACTAATAATCACAAGAGGAGACTTATCGTTTGTTAAAAGCTGGTTGCCTCGGTAATAGATTGTAGAGAATGGATGCCAGAGAGGCTGAAATGAGAGTCTGGCTTTTGTACACAAGGTCAAAAGCCAAAAAATAAACGAAGAGAAGTGTATGGTTGTGTGGGTGTGTAGGCGAGACGTCGCATGGAAGGAAGAGGTCCTGTATTGGCTGGTTCAAATTCAATGACCCGTAGACGTTTAAGATTTGGTGCAGGGGTCAGTATGACTCTTCACTATAGAAGTTAGCACATAAACTGATGGTTAATAAGCTTAAATCAAAAATTCTTTACTATAACTTGGTCTTCCTCCGGTTTCCCTTGTCTGCAAAGGTACACGAGTCCACAAATGTGAAGTGCTCGTGGACGTACATTGAGACGAACATCATAGCTTCACTCATATAAAGAAAGATAAAGATATATGTGAAGTAAATAACTAAATCATGCAAGAGGTTCGTTCAGAACCCTCTTTCACCTAAAGGCCTGTTAGTATTAGACAAAACCTCTTTGATGACAGGAGGAGTTGCAAAATTGCCAAAGATTTTCTTAAAAAAATAATAGTTTAGGTACTTTTAGTAGTGATATCCCTTACTCATAGAGTAATATTCGCATAAAGGTGTCGAAACTATCATTGAATCTTGAATAATAATTTCAGACATCCTATGTCCCGTAAGGAGATGAAAGACTAGTGGTTTAGAAGTGGTTTGACCTTGTTTTCGCAACTCAGTCATATTGGTAGGAAGACTTAAAGCAACGCACCTAGTCCGGAGTC